AATAATATATTATATAATATTATAAATTGTTTTTTGAGATAATAATATTTATGATTTATTGTGCATCTATTTATTTATTTTATACTTATAATGTTATTTAATTTATATTGTTATATATCATATCTATATTATATAATATGTAAATATTAAATTATAATATTATAATTCATTATATTTTTTCATTACATATAGGATTTATTATTTAATATTTTTCATTTATTATAATATACTATATGTTAAATATATGATGTATCACATAATAAATCGTATACATGATTGTTTTTGTTTTAGTATATCTTATTTTATATTTACTTATTGGTTATTATTATAATTTGTGATTTTAAATTAAATATTTTTTTTTTCTTCATTGGTACTCACACACTCCCCGTCCAAGAAAAAGTTTTAGATATTGTATTTTATTATCATGCATTGATTATTGTTAATATTTTGTGAAATAATTGAATTGCATACATTCTTCATATTTTATGGTTTTTCTGAACTAATAAAAATAATAATTTTAAAAGAATTTTAATTTTAACTTATCAAAAAAAAAAAAAAAAAGAATTTTAATTTTAATTTTAAATTATTTTAAATTTTTTTTTTTTTTTTTTAAATTTTCAAATTGAATACTCTTAAAGTTCATAGGAGCTTGAGTTTTCAAACAATCTAACATTCGTTTTCCTCCGTAAGTGGTCATACACAGGTAGCTAAAGTCAATTCGAACATGATATAGTTGCTAGATTTGGATATCCATTACAACTTTGAAGAAGCCCATATAAGGAAGTCATCCCATCAAAATGTGTTACGGCAGGTGATATTTAGTGAAGCTGCATGTGGTGAAGGTGCCATCCATATACCATTTTAAATTAGGAAAATAATTCTCGGAATACTCCAAGGGTTTGTTTGGTTAGCATGAAGTAGATAGAAAGGAAAAGAAAAGGGAAATATCTAACTTTTTTAGGAGTTTGGTTAGCGTAAAAAAGAAAATTTTTAAGATAGTAATTTTCTTGCAACTGTCTAATTTTTCTCAAAATTTTTCTGACATAAAACACTACCAAAATTTTACTTTCCCGTGAAAGTGATGCCTTCACATCTTAGTTTCCTATTATGCCCATGTCAACCTCCTCACTTTCTCCACAAACTTCTACAACAAGTGAGTTTCATTCTTTTGTAAATTACTTATAAGATCATGTAAATACTGATTTAATTGTATATAGTTTTATATCAAAATTAAAATTTTATTTTATTTTTTTTCCTTCCACAATTAATAATGATGAGAGTGATATATATATATATATATATATATATATATATATATATATATATATATAGTATTTAGTAGCAAAGTGTTGGGTAAAAAACTAGTTTAGTGCCTTTATGTATACAAGTTTTTAAATTATAATTTAATTCATATATATATATATAGACTTCTCATGACTTTTGGACTCAACTACTGAAATGTACCAAACTCATTTAATTTTAACTCAACGTATATTAGATATACCAAATTAATTTAGTTTTAACTCTATGTATATTATATGTATGTACCAAACTAATTTAGTTTTAACTCTATGTAACTTATATATATGTACCAAACTAATTTAGTTACAAGTATTTTATTTCTATTAGGCTGAAGTTTTTTTTGTTTTTTTTATGACTAAAAGTATATATATATTAAAAGTATATATATATATATATATATATATATATATCTTTCATCGAAAGCGAGCCGGGAGCGATCAAAGGCGATAAACGAAGGCAAGGAGATGATTGTTGACGGCCATCGAGTCTGGCAATAAAGATATGCAGGTGGAAAATGATCGAACCTTTTGAGCACATATATAGGGGAAATGAAACTCTGTCTTAACTCCCAATTAAGAAGTGCAGTTCCGCAAGTAGTTTTCGCATATCATAAAACCAGATAAAACAATACATATATGCTTGTATAGAGAGAGAGAAAGAATGTGGTTTTGGGCACTGTCTAGTGAGCGGTAGAGTTGTCCTAATGGGCCGCGAAGTAATTGCTGCCTAGCCTAGTTTGAGTTAAGGATTGGGCCTACTTTTGTTTGAGTGTTTTAATATAAACGGACTAGCCCAGTAAAAGATAATGCAGGGGGAGTTAGCCCAGTAAAATAAGTTGTATAAAATAATAAAATTGATGATAATATATATAATTTTATTTAATCATGCAATTATAATTGTAATTATTAGATTAACGATTTCAAGTTTTTTATTTTAACCACTTGATATCTAACAGGTCGCAAAGTTGAAAATAGTTCATATTAATAAAAAATTAGAATTTAGAAGATATATCAAAACTAAATGAAAATGGACATGCATCTATAAATAGAATATCTATAATACTAGTACCAAAAAAAAAAGAAAAAAATCAATATGTTCAACAAGGATTTTTTTTTTCGCTATCTTAACCAATTGACGCTTAATATTTAGAGTAAATTACACTTATTTTTCCTAAGATTTGGATAAATCTCACATGGATGGAGTATTTGAGATTTATTACTTTGACTGCCCTTAATAGTTAATACTATAAAAAGTCAATTATGCTCTCATAAGAAATATATTTTTATAATACAAAATATATATATTATAAAATCTAAAAATATATATTATTATATCCCATCTCTCTTATTACTTTCTCTCTCCTATCTACCACCGTTACCCTCTCCTACAAAATATCTTTTAAATATATTAAAAAAAAAAAAAATTTGAGTGTGGCAACTTGGTCATTTTATGAATTTTTTTTACTAAGTGTTGATGGAGAGGTGGGCCAAATTTCAAAGGTGATCAAAGTAATAAATCTTAAACGCTTCATTTGCGTGAGATTTGCCCAAACCTCAAAAAAGGTAAATGTAATTTACCCTAATATTTAGTACCTACTAAAGTATTATTTATATTGCCCATTTGGGTTTAAAACTGCACTACCTAAATTAAGTAATTTAGCCTGAACCCACATTATAAATGCAGGCCTTAGTTTAAATTGAAATGTTGGGCCAAGTTCGTGACTGGATTGAATTTGGATCAGTTACAAATTAACTTCCATGAATGATCAGATTACTTTCTTCATCCAATCTCAACTTGACTTATGTGTATTCTTTTCCACACTTCCACTTGTGACCTGTTTGGACCTATACTCAGTTGTTCCACTTACGGGTATTAGTCAGTAACCTTATGTAACGGATTAGGCCCGTCACAATTCGATTTTAAATTTTAAATTTTTTACTCATCAGCAGTTAATAAATGTCCATCCGTTATAGTTGGTATTAAAGTCAGGTTTAATATTAAATTTGGTGTAATGCCAAGCACCTCGGGCAAAGTAGTCCGGATATGCCGCCTTTTTAGTAGAACACCCAACTCCCTAAGTGTGTGTCATGTTCAGTCCCCCTCCCGCCTAATTTGTCAAAAAAAATAAATAAATAAATAAAAATTGTTCACTTGTGATGGCGAAGCAATATCAAGTTTGCACCAAGAATATAGATCAATTGGGATGTATTATATAACTCGTACAAGTGGTCCAGTGGACAAGGGATCTATTGGGGCGAAATGTAAACTCGGCCCAATAAACCTTGTTAAAATTTAAAATTAAAAAAATGGCAAACTGTAAACTCGATACGTTGATTTTTCATTAAAAAAAAATCAGTGAACAACAGATCTTTTGGCCAAACTGTAAACTTCCCGTATCTGAAACCAAAAAAAAAAAAAAAAAAGAAAGAAAGAAAGGCAAACTGTTACTGTGTGTGTGTGTGTGTGTATTTGCAACGCATATGGATTCTTTATACCATAGTGTTCCAGGTTAAAAGAAAATTTAAAGCCCGGGAAGAAAAAAAAATAAAAAATAAAGTAATGTCTCTTGAATTTATTACCAACTGCCCGAAAATTTTCAACTGCGTACCAACTACGAACCATATGCTAAACATTTTCTACTTTTTCATCATCTTTGTGCATATATTTTCCAGTACATACTTTACCTACCCATTCAAACCTTCGAAGTTCATTATTGTTTTCGTATATCTATATATGCACCTATCTACGATACCCAACTTTTTTCTCAGTTGTTTGAAGTTTGCACTACCAAAAAAAAAAAAAAATAGTTTCATAAAAATAAATACTCTGTAATTAAATAAGTAAACAAAGAGATAATTATATTTACCTTCCAAATAATAGGCACTTTCTATATTATTTCAAAAATAATATTGACATACCCTCTCAGTTTTGAGTTTGACCCAAATGTAATAATTGACCATTATACCCATTGTACTTTTATTAATTCAACATATAGTTAAAATATCATTTGTGAACTTTCTAAGGACATTTTCTCGTACTATAAATAAATATTAAACATGGCAAAAAAATCAAAATTTATGATTGGAGAGGTTAATTTTACTTGAACCTAATTAATACTAGAGGGTTGTTTCTATTATTTAAGCAATTTACATTTACAAGAAAAATAAGTTTAAATACCCAAAAGAAAAAAATTAATTAACGAAAAGATTTAAACCAAAGAATAAGGCCTGGTCATTTATTAATCGGACAATACCGCCACACTTAGGTTTAGCTTTTGACACCCACAAAATATTCAAAATGTTTTAGCGTACACAGTTGGCAGTTTTAACCCGTCTTTTAGAGAAAATGACCATTTCCTTGAGCAAGAGCAATGTAAAAGCTAGTTTGTCTTCTTCATCAAATGTCATGATCTAAGAGAATGCCTGCATGTAACAACATGACGGCCACATGTACAATTGACCCTAAAACCCACCCTCTCCTTTGTCCATACATCCAACCATACATGTATATTTGTCTTTTCTCTCACTAAAACACACACACACACACACACACTAATAAACAACCAAATTAACACCAAACGTAACTTCCTCTTCCATATATTGCTTTCCTTCTTCGCCCTATTTCTCAGTCAGAAATGACTGCCAAATCATAACTTCTCTTAATTTCTATAGCCAAGAAGAAAAATTAAGAGAGAGAAAGAGAGAAAGTACATTTACTTTTAAAATCATAATCTATTTGATTTCAGTCTATCTTTACATCTATGTTGAAAGGGACACGTACAAGAGAAACCATAAAAATCTAAGGAAAGATTAAAAGATATGAAGGTAAGTAGATTTTTTTTTTTTTGTTCTGTTTTTTTCTTCGAGATTTGGTTTATTCCTGGCGGGGACGTGCCACCCAGAGAGAGCTGAGAGCTCGCAGGCGATGGAAGTACTCAGCGATGGCCAGGAAGCACCTCGCGGATTGACGGACCGTCAGGATTTGATGTAGCCGGTGAATCATTTGCTGCCTCAAATTATCTGCCTGTAAGTTTTTGCATTCAAATAATAAAATACATTACAATTCATGCATGTGTGAAATGAAAATTTACAGGAAATTTAGGCAGTAATAATGAATTGTTCATTGTTCTACATGGTTATGAGTAGAGATATATCTAGGGTTTACGGAAATGCCCTGCAACTTTTATGACTGTGTGGTAGGTAAGGGGTAGAATGTCAAAATGAAAGGGGAAAATATATCAAACATGAAAGCGAAACTTGTTTGCAATTTCTTCGCACGGTTGGATAATTGTGGTGTAGCATGTGGGCCTTTTTGACCATTCTGTTTTAAAATTGATCACGGGGCCGGCATATACATTCATACATATATGTATATGTGTGTGTGTGTTTTGGTGAACTTGATTAAGCAAATAATGAGTACCATATGAGATAGGTTTATGACTTTAATATTTGAGCTTCTTGTAAAATTCAACTGGGAGATATAAATTCTCGTGCTCTAATAATTATTTTATGCATGTACTCTAAATCAAAACTCAATTAGTAATCCAAAGTGATATATGTTCTTTGAAAATGAAAGTTGAAAATTCTAAAACGAGAATAATAGAATATTGGTGTATAATTTAGCTATCAAAAGAAAAACTTAAGGAAAAGTCTATGAACAAAATCTACGTAGATAATAAAATTTTAAAAAGTGTAATATGCTCACCAAAAAAATTATTTGAGTGACAAATTATGCATACCCTTTCATTTAAATCGAACTTGTGTAAAGCTTTCGGCTTTAAAATTAATTTTCTTTTCATAAAAGCTGGTCAAAGTGTAACCAACAGTGAAAAACCTCATGATTTATCCATGGTGGGATGGTCTATGTTTTTGCCTTTTAAGTCAAACTATAATGACCATGACGTCAAGCAAATATGCGCCTAAGATCTAATACGTTCGATTTTTGTAGAGATTTCAATAAACAGTGGCTAAGAATGTTGACATTTAAATAAATTAATGTAAAAAATTGTTTATTTTAATTATTGATTGACGCATCAGTCCATATTTGATCCTGATATTACCGTACCAAAATACTCCATTCAAGCTCTACAACATGGTGAGAGGAAAAATTATCACATGCTTGAGGACTATGTAGCGGTTCCGATTTATCACAAGTAAACATGCAATTTACATGATCTTTACTATCAAATAATTTATGAATGAGAGGTCAGAATCCGAGTTCCACAATTTTCACAATAAATTTATGATGAAAATTTATTTTTATTAAAAAAAGAAACTAAATAAATATGCATTACAGTATGTGATTAACATTGATGTACTTTGTGGTGTTTATTGTGTCTAATTTATTAACTTGAATCACGCAAGGGCCTAGCATAAGACCAATGAGGTACCTACCGGATTTTTTATATTTTCATTCTAGACCTTAATTTTTAAAAAAATTATGAAAATGTCTCCACTAAAATTACAATTTGCCCTCCTGAATTTTTTTTTTTTTTTCATTTTATAGTTTAAATTTTTTAAAATTGAGAAAGAAAACTCTATTAAAATTATAAAAATAAACCTATTACATAAATTTATTCCCACAAATTAAAAAACCGCCCTAACAAATTTTTCTAGTTCTAATTCTGTTCACTTCACTAGGGTGGGATTCTTGGTTACAGCTGGCTTCCTATCTTGAATTGAAGTTAACCACATGTGCTAAAGATTGTTTTTTTCAGTGGGTTTTCTTGTACATATATGATATGTGCATGCATGTCACTGATTGTATTATACCATTGATCCAACTCATCAACGATAGAGATCAGACTGTGACCAAAAGCGCCAACACTGCTCTGTGATACTATCTTTCCATTGTGTAGGACCATTTTCCAAAGTAGATAGATTAATCCATTAGACCTTAATTCTGAAATGGGGTACGTAGTAGGTCATCTGTTGGAGTAGGTTTCTCAACCCTGGTAGGAAAATATTCCACCTTTATGCGTGGGCCCAAATATGAGCCCCAAAAATGCATAGAATATATGCGCACAAAATATAGACATGTAACTATGTAAGTAATAATAATTTCTCTAGATATATAGACATGCATGCGCACAAATATATATATATATATATATATATATGTGTGTGTGTGTGCGTGTATTTAAATAGCATTTTTTCATACCTGTCTTACAAAACCTTCAAGGGTTGAGAGCTTGTTCATGGCAATGGCCATCTGGCCCATGTAGTTGCCCATATTAGCGGGATAGCTCAATGCGTCAGAAACAATGGTCTCGGAGAGAGACTGATTCAGAGCTTCAAGCCCTTGAGATAGAGCTTCCTCCGCCTCCTGTGTTGATTGTTGTAATCCATATATACTCAACAGTTGTTGCTCTGTCAACGGCTCTACTTGATTCACAACAATCTAACACACATGCATAAACACGTACACATACAATATTAGTTATTGTAATTAATTTATATAACCACTTTCTAAGGTATGTCTAAAATTTATTTGGATCTGTTATGATTTAAATGAGTAGCTCGCAAAAGGGTTTGTTTAATATTTATTTACAAGAAAGCAAAAGCAAGAGATGAATATGAGAACAAGAGAGTTCTGTTTTCATCAATGAGAAAGAGGTAGAAGACATAAAGAGTGTTAGAGAGCCGTGTAAGAAAGAATATTCTCTTTCTCACACACACACACATGCACACACACCCACAAAAAATTGTAGTAACGGACATAACTTTATGGCTCACTTTGGAATGATACCTAACTAAACCCTAGAATGCAAAACTTCACCATATATACACGTATGTCGTATTCGTTGCTGTTGATTATCAAATCTTCACACTCAGTGCACCGACAAATTGCACCATGCAATTACATGTCTTATACCTATCTAGCTACCTCGTGCACTACTTCATCATATCTCTACACATCTCATCAAAATTATCCTTTTCTTCTTTAACCATTATGTATATAGCTCAACTTTCTATTTATGAAAATCAATACCCTATATATATCATCAGTAAACAACTTTATTTTATGTTTAAAAAATCTTTTAATTAGGGTTGGGCTCTTTGAACTCTAAACGCTCATTAACTATTAGTTCCTAATCTTATATATATGGTTTATGCGTTTGGTTGATGTTTCTCTTGTCATTTTCTAATCACAACCACTACGTCTGATTTTTCTAACGTACTTTTTATTTATAATGTTTGATCAACTTCTCAACACCTTGCCAAAAAAATTGGCTTTTTATTAATGTTAGAAATATATATTTTTGAAGATAGGGTGTAATTTAAATACCTTGATGAGCTCAGATGGGCGAAAGCCTCCGATCCACATGAAGCAACGTTCTGCCGGAGTCTTCCACATACCGGAAACAAGATGAAAGACATCGGATTTGACAACCATGCTTTTGAGGGTCATGATCTCATCAAAGTGTGCTAAGCAATTGTCCACAAAGAGTCGAAGTTCATTCTCGGGTAGATGCTCTTGTACTGCTGCTCGCAGCTCGTATATGACTCGTTGATGCTCTTCAAGCCATTTTGCAAACTCCATATCAAACACCGCTGCATCTACTTAATTACGTACAGTGAGATTTAGTATAGCCATGAAACTCAAAAAATATATATGAAAGAAAAAAAAAGGGGGGGTATATATATTTATTCAAGGATGTAATATACTAATATGTATTTATAATATATATATGTATGTGTGTGTGTTTGTGCATATATGTAGTTGCATGAAGTTTGGAACAAAAACCTGAGCTAATGTTGTTGATACCAACAGGAAGGCCTTGGTCTCCTCCCAAAAGAGCACCACCAAGAAATACACCCTGATACAAAACCAAGTTTAATTTTAAAATTAAATAATAAAATAACAAGTGTGTAGTAGTTGAAGACATTTAATTAATTCTCTAAATTAATCAATTGCATTAGTTGGGCTAGAAAACCTCACTTGAGCTCTTGCCCTTTGTAGTTCTTGTTCTAGTTGAGTAAGCTTGATCCTACTTGACTCTAGCTGTTGAACATAAGCCTGTAATGGAAATAAGTAAATCAATCAAAGTAGTCAAATTAATACGTAGATTAACAATACTCTAAATAGCCTAGCTTGTTTGAGTACTAGAAGAACTAATTGTAGCTTGGTTTTTTTTTCTCTTAACTGACCTTTTTTCTAAGTCTGCTTTTCCTAGCTGCTTCTCTATTCTGGGCAAGTCTCCTCAATGTCTGTTCAGAAAACCAAAATCAATACTTTCAACATATATAGATACAGAAGAAGAAAAACAACCATTCATATATATATATATACACACACACACACACATTATTCTATCACCTTAGGGTCTGGTGTTTTGGGTCCTTCCTGCTCTAAATTTGATAATGGACCTTTGCGGTTTCCTTCTCGCTGGGGGCACATTTAAAAATTAAGAAAAATTTGTGAATCCCAGTCCACAATTAAGTAGCTAGATCTTGAACTATATTGTATAAATACATATAACTCCTATATATATATATATAGACATGTACCTTGATAGCTTTGGCTGGTTGATCATGTCCAGAGGCAATATCATTGTTTTTGGGGTTGGATAATTCCATGGACGGCTCAGATGATCTCTTTGAACCAGCTGTGGTTGCAGGAGAAACTAATCCAACACTTGCTGCCTACCAAATACCAAAACAAACCCATTTAAAAAAAAAAAAAAAAAAAAAAAAAAACAGTTGAATTGAATGATTAAGTAATTAACTTAGTCCAACAAGCTAGCTAAAATAAGACATTTTAACGGTAATACAAATAAATAAATAAATATACCTTTGTTGATGATGGCTCTACTACGTGCATAGGCTGAGAAGGGAAAATGTTTAATGTGGGAGGCCTCATCCCAGAACTCTCTGCACACATGAAATCTCACACAATTAAGCATCAAAAGTCATATATATGTGGTGTGTGTATATATGTGTGTATAGAGAGAGAATATTTTGTTCTACAGACATAATAATTAGTAAAGAAGGAATCAATATAGAGATGAGGGAGACTTTGTATTGGTCATGCATTTGTAGCTCTCTGCAAACCAAACAGAAGAAGAAAAGGAAGAAACAAAAAGAGAGAGGAGAAAAAAAGCTGAAAAGAATCAAAATCTGCTAATCGTACCTTCCCAGTACACAGAAAATTCGCAAGAAATTCGTGATCACAAGTTTGTTACATGTCATGGTCGAAGCATATTTCAATTTACAAGAAATAACTGTGTGTAATATGAAATCCCATACATAAATATATATATATATACACACACACACAGAGAGGGAATCATTTTTCTCAAAATTTGAATTTTCTTTTCCCTTGCCTTCTGCAATGATCTGGTCAAACAAAAGTACAATCAGATCATTTAATCTGTCCTGCATACTTTCCTCATGACCCAAAATTAAAGCCTTTTTCCCAAACGAATCTCAGTGAGCACCAAAAACAAATAAAATTATATTTCCAAAACTAGAGAAAAATGAGAGAGAGAGAGAGAGAGTTAGAGAGAGAAAGCTCACGTCTTTGGTGTTGAAGTGATGAGGGGTCTTGACCATCAAGATAAAGAAAAAGGGCTTGATCTAACTCACCCAAATCATTATAAGCTCCAGTACTGTCTTTGCTTCTGCTCAAACCCAAAAAGGGAAAAAGAAAAGAAAAAGGATTAAATGAAAGAACGAAAGAGTTTTGGAGAATTGAAAAACGTGACATAGAGGGAAATCTAGAAAGAAGTGAAGATCGATATGGGTATTTGTGAGGGTGATTAGTTTATTTTGATCCTAACAAATATTACATGAAATTGGCAGGAATGTTTGACGATGATGATGGAGATGATTGCATCATTCCGAATGAAATCCTCTGCTGATGATGATGATTACGTCCATGATGATCTTGAAATAGCTGGCTTTGCTGCGGAGTAGTGTTGTGTGAATGGTCTAGTATTTGTGTTTCTCTATTGTTCGCCATGAAAGTAGCTCCAACAACAACCTTAATTCCGCTCTTCCTCTGATGCTCCTGAAAAACCCATGTTCAAACTGCAAGCTAGCTTCTGATGATGATCTTCTTAATTTTGACGAAATATCATTTTTTTTCTTCTTCTTCTTCGATGATAAATCAATATATAAGGGATGGGTAGTCTAGAGAGAGAGAGAGTCGGTTATATGTATAATTGAAGAGAGAGTACGCTAGCTAGCTAGGGGAATAAAAATGAGAGAGAGAGAGAGAGAGAGAGGAAAAAGATGAATAGAATTGAATGCAAAAGAGGCAAAAGACAAAGCGTTTTCAAGCTCTCATCTTCTTTCTCTAAGAACCAGACGACTTTCTTCAAACCAACTTTTTCAGATAAGGCGGTCTCAACATGTCTAGTTGGAACAGTCGCTCTCTTTCTCTTTCTCTTTCTCTTTCTCTTTCTCTCTCTATGTTACAATTTCTCTGTTTTTAATCTTTTTCTCTCTCTAAAACCGTTCCATTCGGCAAAACCACCGAAGACCTGCAAGAAACCGCTTTTAGATTATAAAAACCATCATCCTCGAGGGTGTATGGAAACTGCATATGGATTCCTTCTTCGACCATCTCAGTCTCCTCCATCTAAAGACGGGAATGCCCTTTGAATTCATCAATATTACCATTTGACATTTTGAAGCAACTTTGAACCGACACGTAGACGGCTGAGGTGCCCTTTACTCAGAAGACCGTTTTTTTGTTTTTTTTTTTTTTATTTTATTTTTTTATTATTATTATTTTTTGGTTATATACATATATACTAACACTTTATGATATTTAGCCATGGAAATTTCATTTTTGTGTGTGGATTATAATCCAATCAGACATCAACACAGCAAGAGGACGATTTAATATTGGTTTACTAGTTCAATTGTTGTCGTAAATATAAATCATTTAGCTTGGTTATATATTATAATTAAATATTCTAAATAACTAATATCGTGTGTGTGGGTAGAAATTGGACAATGTTTACATACTACTATTGTACAAATAAACTGGACTCTAACCACTCTTGCTTTAACAAAGAATATAAACTATATAAGTCCATAAATTTTTTATAAAACAAAAAGTCCTACTTTGGTAAGATATTTCTAAATAATTACAAATTTTATAAATTGCCAACAATGCCCTCTTTTCACCAAATTTCTAATTATGCACCCACCCTCCTAAAACATTTAATAATTTTTTCAAATTCATTGTCTAAATTAATCATAACATGTTACAATATAGAAATTGACTGGAGTTCCATAGTCGGATTCTGTGGCGGACACAGACGGGGCTTAGGTGAATTTTAATAGTAGTATTATACCCCCTTTAATCCATTCAAAAAAAATTTGTTTATGAAATTGTGTAATTAAATTTATGTTCAATACCAACCCCTCATTTCCTGAATTCGCCCTTGTCAGATAACATTTAAGTGAGTGGCAGAGTTGGGCTGACGTCAATATTCCCAACATTATAATAATATCAACCTCTATTCACTTAAAATTAGTTGAATTTGTCAACGGACCCCTTATCATTATCATAAAATACAATGTATATTTTTCATGCATTATATTTATGAATAATAAACAAAATATTTTTATTATGTTTCAAAAAATTATTTCCTTAAAAATAAAAAATAAAAAATAAAAAAGAAAGATCAAGAAAAAAAATATTAAAATTGTCTATTAATTTAAGAAAATATTTTTTTCGGTAATTTAATTTGAGAAAATGTTATCGGAATAACTATGTGAAATAAATCTTAATGAATTGAATATAAGATAAATTTAAAACAAAGCTTTTGGTCCCTAATTAGGACTAATTTCTCGTTAAGGATTTTTTTTCCCTGTAAATATATATATATATATTACGAGCTATATACTCGGTATATAGTAATACTTTTGAGTTCAAAGGTTAGAAGGTCAAATTCACCCTCCTTTACCCTCGCGATATGTCCAATTCATAAAGTGACTCGTATATAACTGAGGACGCATGCATATGGGCAACTGGCCACGTTACTGTTTTTTCAACAATATAAGAGTGTTTTTTCTGCTAATAGGATATGGAGGCCAGAGAAAGCTAGTTATGAGCATCACAGTGGAGGATAATGGTACTGCTAATTATATTAATCTCATATATATTAATTTCATCAAAAGCATTTTATATGGATTTTTTTGTTTATCTATTAATAATACTATAAGAAAATAAAATAAAAATAAAAAATGTAACCCACAAACTAAAATGCTTTTGATGAAAACAAAAAAAAAAAATCATTATGTATATAATTGAAGTTAACATCAGCCATCTCTATTCCTTATAGAATGTAGGACAATCACCAAACATACATGATCTTGAAGAGACGGAAGTTGAAATTTAAAACAGGAATTTTACAAGAAATTTTAAAATAGTAAAAAGGAAAGTAATTATTTTTTCCTTTTTACCTTTCTTTTTCCATTTCCTTACTAGAACATCAACTTTAGACTAGAGTGAATTAATTAAAGTTCAACAAATTAAATGTCACATAGCAATACAAGAAAAACACATAATTTATACATAGACATATTTAGTTAAAATAAGTTAAAACAGATAATATTGGACATGCATAAAATTTGGGTCTGTTTTGCTAGTGCCGGAAAAAAATATATTTCAAATCAAGTTGGTTTTTATTTGATTAAATATTATATGATTAATAAAATGGTTTTTAATTTTCTAGAAGAAAAAGCTTCTTTTGTTTGACCTAGACATGTCAACCCAACAAGGAGCGGACACGTCTACACTGCACCATAAAATATGATGATGAGCAGTATTGAAGCATCTGGATTCTGCAGCCGTTACCGGATCTCCAGGGGCATTTATGTCCTGAATTGCTCTAAAACCATTATTAGAGGCAGCTGTCACCAGGGGAAGACGGTGAGCCCGTTGACCAGTAGACACGTATCAGGTTTGAATTCTGGGAAATTGGGGATATGGGACCCACCAATTGTTAATCAAACCAAGAATCGCACGGCTGCGAATTAAGGATCTCAAGTCTGATTCAAAACGTAGGACCCACACCGGACCGGCCCCCACCTTTCCCGCGATATTTTAACCCCGGGACTTCCAACTACTCCTAAAAAACGGATTGTCAGCTAACTGCAAAGAAAAAGACACGAAATTATATACTAGTATATATTTATATAGGGTAAATTGCACTCACGAAATTTTTTTTTCTTTTCTGAATTTAACCAAATACTATAAATCTAAGATGAAAGATGCTTTTGAAATATATTCAATAGTTATAAAAGTCACACTTGTCATTGTAAATTACATATCCTTTAACTAAGAGACCATTTATCCATTTCATGTATTGCTCTGTTGCATAATCTTGGATACCAAATTAACTTAAATCTCAAGTTTTGATGAATCAAATACTAGATATTTTAAATAATGACTAAACATAAAAGGTCTATAGGGTTAAGCTCACTCACAAAATTATTAGACACTTTTTGAACAATAGCACTTCCAAATTTGAGACATTGAATAATGACTTTTAAAATGAAGAAAAAAGTATTTTATAGCCATTTGACTTGTGAATTGATTTATTAAATTATAAATTTATAATTTTTACATTCTCAAATCATTTTAATGAACAAAATTACCCTTCACACTGCAACTTTATTATGACAATTATGATCATTGACTCTAGGGAGACACTATATTTACTCTCTTTTGATTATTTAAGATGATGTGATCTTTATTTGCTAATAAATTCTCATAAGTCCTAAACTACTCATAATAATTGAACAATAACTAAAGACTTTTTTTTATTTTTTATTTTGAAGGTAATAATTATAGACTTTGGACCGCATGATTGTAGATAGTTTTTTTTTTTTTTTTTTTTTTTTCTTTTTTTATCTTGGTGGCAAGAAATTCATACCCCTAAACTTTAAAACAAATTTATAGTATTATTATAATTAGTATACATTATATAGTATTACAAGTATCACTGCCTATTCACCATAATTTTCATTGCCTATTTTTTATATGGTTCTTGAGTTTGTTTTGGATTTGATTTCTGTTATTAAACATATTCTAGATTGATGTGCCAAAATGATGATATATATTATTATTTTCTCCATCACTTCTCAATGTCAAAATTTTTATTTCTGATCAGAGGTTGATAAAATTTAATATTTAATAATTCTATCAATTAATAAATTTATCACATAATCAATAAAATTGTTTATTCCTCTTTGAAGGGTAATATAACTTGTTCATTTTGCGAACATGGTGCCTTTTGTTTACAAACTATATTTTATAATTAATTTGATATAATGTAAATTTTGGGATGTAACTAGCTTGTTCATAAATATTTTAATGAAAAAATTAAAACGTTTTGAGAATGTTCAAATGGTCAACTCATAATTTAAATAAGTCAATTCGTAAGTTAAAGGACAATAAAGTATTTTTACCTTGATTTAGAGTGTTAAACACAAACAACCGTCCTCCTCACTACCCTTCCAATCAAGATGAAAACTGAATCCCTTACCCAATTTCAAATATTCAATTTGTTTTTCTTATTAAAAAAAAAAAAAAATCCCCATAAACCAAATTTGGGTAAAAGTAAAATGGCTTATTACTATGTAGTGACTAGTGATCAAGAAAATATTGCATAAGAAAATTTATTATTGATATCATGATATGTAATGTCGAATTCTTCCGTCATTTTTTATGACAATAAGACATTAAGGGCATGTTTGGTATGCATTTGTTTTTATTTTTTAGTTTCAATTCGAAATAAAAACAAATTTTTTGCTGTATGGTATTTTGAATATGTTTGGTTAATGTCTAGCTATTAATTACAAATTTTTGGAAGCAAAAATTTAAAAATATGTTTGATAGAAAAGAATTGCAAGTTTTAAAAATATAATTTTTAGTTTAAAAAGTCATTTCAGAGTTTTTTATTTATTATTTATTGTTACAGTATCCGTTGCCTGAACACGTAAAAATACTAAATTGATGTTTTAACTTTTGATCACTATTGATGAAACATTTCGACATTGTATAAAGCAAAAAAAATTTTATCAAACGCTTACAGTACCCAACAAAAATTCAAACACCAAAAATAAAGTGCATGCCAAACAAGCCCTAAATAACTAAAATAAAATAAAAATAAAAATAAAAAAAAAAAAATTGTACAGAGGCTCGAGGCGGTGCCCATGAAATTCTTTTTATAACATTAAATATTTAGAATTTTT